TGCTCTACAGGAGGTGGGGGAGCGTGTAGGAGGGGTCGCGGAGGTGGCGAAGGACGTGTGACCGCTCTATCAGCGGCTTTGTCTGGTGTCCCACCCAGCTCATGGACATCACTGGTTGCCAGGAGCTTGGTAGGACGCATGCCAGACTGTCCCAACTGGTGACCTCAGCGAGCTGGGCTAGATGCTAGACTCAGCGTCACAGGTTGCTGAGAGCTCTTAGCAACCTTGAATGTTGTGGCCGCCCCACAATAAGATGCCATCTGAGGCAACCACCTCAAGCTGCCTCATTTTAAGGACGGCTCCGTTTATAAAAGAAAGAAAAGAGAAAACAAACAGGAAAACTATGTTTGTTTCACTATGAATTTGCTGGTTTCATTTATGCTTCTACCAACACCTGCGCTTTCAAATCGTTTCAAATTAAGCCTAGTGCAAAGATGATGTAAAATGTAAAGGAACAAAGAGCAGCCAATCAGAATCCAGCATACTGACGTCGGGTCACAAAACAATGAACTGCGATTGCTTTAGGTTCCTGCACTTTGCCGTTTGCTTCATTCAATTTCAAATTCAAGCCTAATTGTTCTGAAGACGATTCTTACTCATCAAGGACGAGGTGCGTTGACCTCACCAGTGACTAATGCTCCTCTACCTGCCTCCTCTACAGCTACTACAGGCGTCATTATTTCTTTCTTTCTTTTTTTAACCAACTCGCTGATTGAGTTTCTTGCCCGTCTCTTTAAATTGCCTCTATGCAGAGACGCGTGCGGTAATTAACACCCAGAAGCCATCAATGATGCACCATTTTTCAACTTTTACCATGATTGGAATATGAAAATGAAGGGCCTCAATGGTGCAGATGTTTTAAAATCACAGCAGACTGCAATTAGTGACATGAGAAGCAGCTGCTTATCTCTCTAGATAAAGCCTCTTAATAGGGAATTACTCTTGCTGAGCCATTACACAGATGGATCTGCAAATGATTTAAAGAGGGGAGGTGCAGATTTTGTTTGTGAATGTGTGTTTTTTGCCTAGACTTTTTTCTTTTCTTTCTCTAATAGCTTTTTTTTTTTTTCCCTGTGAAACCTTTACAAAAACACCTATTGGTGTTTAGTGAATTACCTTTTTAGTGAATTAAAAGTGCATTTAGGTTTTTGTTTTTTTTTTCATAATGCCCATGATCAGTTCTAGGGTGCTGGGGAGTCCGAAGATCAGTTCCAAAGGATAACCAACCCCAAAACAAAAAAATATAATATATTGCTGAATACCCGTCCCTAGTTTCAGTGGCTGCACTAGTTTTCTTTTCCAGCAAGTACAGAAAATACCTGTTGATCCTCCCAGAAATTCAGCATCCATGTCGCTTCCTGTGAGATGACCTGAAAACAAAAGCAAGGTTATCTTTCTTGTGTAAACTACATAAGACATTAGACACACTCTAACTGATGCTTGCAGGCATTGTAAGTAATGCCAGGATCACTTTAAGCTAGTCACCTTCACACATATATGAGAGAGAGAGAAAAAAAACATGAAAAGACTTTAGTTCCTCTTTATATGTCGACTCTTTGCTGCATTCATAAATCTTTAACCCCGGTGTGCTTCCAGGCTTCATAACTGGAGCAAATTAACTGATCCTCAAATGCCTTGTACGTTTTATGAGCGCAAAATATGAGAAGGTATTAAAAATCCGTGTTAGAGGCTCCCTTAGAGATTAATGGTAGCGGCATATAATAGGTTAAACCGGCGTGATTAATACTCGTCCTTCTTAATTAGACAGCCATAATTACTTTTTCAAGAGCGCCAATAAATCTCTAAATAGCGCTGGAACTGGAAGAACCTGGATGTCTCGAGTGACATGTAACGTGTGCAGGCAACCCACGTTTTTATTTCTTATGAGGAATGCGCTTTTTTTTTTTAACATAAAAGTTGGCTGTGAAATTAAAGGCAATAAAACGCGGGTTAGACTTTTCAGAAGAAGACCTCCTCGTACATCTTCAACTGCAGGGCCACAATCTGTAACATGTAATGTATCTATTTTTCTGTAGCCCTCATATTCACATTTAGACTGGTGGTGCACAAGGGCTATCAAAAATCAAGGGTTCCACTTCCGGATTGGAGCATGTTGGGCGTTGCCTTCATTATCTCCTGTAACCAGCACAGTGCATTACCTTCTTTTTATGGCTAAAATCAAAAGTAGAAAACCAGCCAAGATTTTCCAACAACCTCAGTTTCCCACCCAATTCCTCCCCCTGTCCTCACCGTGTTCTTCAAAGATACTTACCGGTAGCTTGAGTCATCCAATGCATTCCAGCCTAACTTCCATGATTTATGCGCCTTGGTTAGAATGAATATCTTCAATTATCTGGTCCTGTTACTGAATCCAGAAGCATTTTATTGGCTTACTCTTGTTTCCAGCAATTAAAGGGGCAGTCATGCAATTCCGCAGCACATTTTGCCCCAAAAAAGAATTATATTTCCTTTTCCTCTGAAATCAAGAGTTTAACCACAGTCAATACTGATCCTGTACAACCTCTGGAGCTAAAAAGTAAAATAAATAATTACCTTTGCGATATTGAAATGATTCTGTCCACAGAGGGCGACGTGGTATTTGCATTCTCTAGCCTGGAGCTTGTGTCTGGTTGGAGACTGGGAATGAGCAGAGTGGCCTTTACAATCGAAGGTCAGACCTTTACTCAGCTCTGTGTGCCCAGTATTGTACAGAGAGCTTGGAGTAGTGGAGAAAATGTTGTGCCTGCCTCTGGCACTGGAAAGTTTCTTTGCCCTTGTGCTGCATGGCCATTCCCATCTTTGGCCTGCTACTTGTGCAGAATTGTACTTGGAGCGGAATGGCCAAGCAGTGGCAAGTGCATTTTATACCATATAGATCTACACATAAAAATGTATTTTCTGCTTTTTTTTTTTTACTCAATTCTGATGTTATATCACTGCGTGTTGTGATGATACTGTTTTTCCCCTTTACATATGTAAAATCTATGAGTCAATTTAGTGTTTTAGATGAATAATTAGTTTTTTGTTTTCCTTTATGTTTTAGGTACATGAAAAGGTACAGAAACATTCTGGACTGCATTACGACTCCGGAGTTCCTCCAGTCATCACCAGTGACACCTTAAAACCAAAGCACCAGCAGAAAAGTAACCAGCATCATCTTGACTGGTTGCCAAGTTCAGGCCCTGGAGCCTCAGCGCAGAGCAGCTTCCTGGATGCCGAAACTGGCAAGGAGGCACCTAATGCCACCAAGAGTCCCAGGCCAGAAATGGCTTCCCCATTTCTCAAGTCTCAGTCAAAGAAAACGAATGCGGGTGGGAGTCCTTGGACTAAGATTTCAAACGCAAAGGATAATTCAGCTTCCAGTGCCCTTCCATCACCAAGCAGCAACAGCATTTTATCGGTAGCTAACGTTTCCGAGCCAAGTAGCGGTCTGTCAACATTGGAGGACCAAAAAGGTGGGGACTCAAAGGAGCAGCCTTTGTGTACTGCAAAAAAGAAAGGCGGCAAAAAGGAGGCGAGTCAAGCTGTACAGGCAGGAGAACACGAAAGAGGGAAAAATAATCCAAAAGTAAGTGACCATAAAAGTCATGAAACTGTGGACAATAAGAAGGATGCTGATGGTTCAGCAGCTGTGCAACAACGGCAAGATGCAACTCCTGCAAATGGTGGTGAGACGGATTCAAGCCATGTGAGGATCGCACTTCCTATTAAATCTGCACCGGTGGATCCACCCTTGAATAGACGGAAGAAAAAACAGTCTTTGAAGCCAGCCTTGGTGAAAAAAATGCCAGATGAGGACCAGCATTGTGGGAGGCCATCAATGAACGAAGTGAGCAACCAAACAATTACTCAGCCCCAACTAGCCAGGAAGGATAACAGAGTGGCTAAACAGGGTAAACTTATGAGTAATGATATGCCATCAAAGTCGCAAGAAATGAATGGAAGTGTGGGGAAAACCTTTGTAAGCGGCATAACCCGTCTGCAGAAATCTGCTGCTGCTCCTCCTGTCTCAAAAGCCATTTCCGAGAGCTCCAGATCGAAAGTGCCCGATTTGCAACACCCCAAATTTGCCGCCAAGAAAAGATGGGCATGTGGAAAGCCTAAGATAAATGCTCATGAAAATTCTGTTTCACATTCTGAAAAAATGGTGGTGGATCCACCCTCTGCCTACCCAATAACCCCCTCTAGCCCGCTTTATACAAATACAGATAGCCTTACAGTAATTACGCCAGTGAAGAAAAAAAGGGGTAGACCAAAGAAACAGCCTTTGCTTACTGTTGAGACGATCCACGAAGGAACGTCTACAAGTCCAGTAAGTCCCATTAATAGAGAGTTCCCTGGAATCAAGAAAAGAAAGGGGAGGCATTCCCTCTCTGAGTTGGTCCAAATGCCATCTGCGACGGAAAAGAACATTGGCGAGTTAGATTTTCACAAAAAGGTTGGAAAGCTTGGAATGTTAGATAAGAAAACCATAAGAACAATCAACAAGATGAAAACACTTAAAAGAAAAAATATCCTAAACCAAATTCTGTCTTGCTCAAGCAGCATTGCCTTGAAATCGAAATCTCAGCCACAGTCCAACGCAATAGGAACCGTAACTACAACTCTTGATGCTAGGTTAGGCAAGCAGATTAATGTTAGTAAGAGGGGAACAATCTACATAGGGAAGAAAAGGGGGAGAAAGCCAAGAGCAGAGCAGGTTCCCCAACAAAATGAACACAGAACAGCCATCAAACCAACCAGGCCTGTTTCTAACCAGCCCGAAATCCCAACAGTGCCTTCTAACTTGCAGTCATTTGCGGCATCTTCACCAGCAGCTATTCACAGTTTTACAACCCAGCTAGTAGGTTCTAATGGAAACCTTAGCCCTGCCAGCACTGATACGATGTTTTCAGATTTAAAAACAATGCCAAATCTTCAGCCAATCAGTGCTCTTCCAACAAAAATCCAGAAAGGAATCCATAGCAGCTCTTGGAAGTTGTCTCCACCGCGGTTATTGGCTCACTCCCCTTCTCACCTCTGTGAGATTGGCTCCCTAAAGGAAGTCACACTGTCCCCTGTGAGTGAGTCACACAGTGAGGAAACCATCCCAAGTGACAGCGGTATTGGCACAGACAACAATAGCACTTCTGACCAAGCCGAGAAGGGATCAGAATCCCGTAGACGGTACTCCTTTGATTTTTGTTCCCTGGACAACCCAGAGGTTATCCCATCTGAAACCAGCACAAAAAGCAAACATGGCCACCGGCAGAAGCATCTCATTGTTGACAACTTTCTTGTCCATGAAAGTGTTAAAAAGCCAAAGCACAAAAGAAAGCGGAAGGGTTTGCAGAACAGGGACAATTTGCAGTTTCTTGCAGACCTTGAAGACCTGATTAACAAGTTTCAAGTCTTTAGAATTTCCCACCGAAGTTACAGCTTCTACCATGAAAATCCTTATCCCAGTATCTTCAGGATCAACTTTGATCACTATTACCCTGTGCCATATATTCAGTACGACCCCTTGCTCTACCTTCGCCGGACCTCTGACATGAAATCAAAGAAAAAGCGTGGTAGACCTGCCAAAACCAATGACACCATGACAAAGGTGCCTTTTTTGCAAGGGTTTGGATACCCCATTCCCAGTGGAAGTTACTATGCACCATATGGAATGCCTTACACATCAATGCCTATGATGAACCTTGGTTATTATGGTCAGTATCCAGCTCCTTTGTATATGTCTCATACGCTAGGAGCAACTTCTCCGTTTATGAGGCCCCCTGTTCCACCACCCCAGTTTCATACATCTTCTCATATGAAGATGTCTACAGTCGCCAAGCATAAGACAAAACACGGAGTACACCTACAGTCATCAGTAGGTATGGGCTTAGGAGACATGGCTCCTAAAACAGGAACAGTTGGACTTTCAAGCAGCCGGCTCCACAAACGAAAACACAAACATAAGCACAAGCATAAGGATGATCGCATCCTTGGGGGACACAGTGATTTCGGTGGATTTTTTTCTGCCAAGTCCACAAGCTTTTCAGGTCACACCACAAACGACAAACTCAGTCCTTCCAATAAGGATCTTTCCTCCGTCAATGAGAAAAGCAAACACAAAGAACGACAGAAGCACCAGCATTGTGAAAATGGACAGCGAGGTCCAAAGTCAACGTTTGAGGTGGACACGCTTTCGTCCTTGTCACTTTCAGATGGTCAGCACTGGACTCAGTCCAAGGACAAAAATGACTTGAGCAGTGAAGCTGTTGATAGCTGCTTGAAAAGGTACTCTGGAAATGACTGCGGTGGCCGAGTGGACTCTTCTGACCTGTTTGGGGACATTAATTCATCCGGTGATAGGAGGGATGGTGACCTGAGTGGGAATAAAAGACGGACCTTTGAAGGTTTTGGTTCCTACAGAGAAAAGGACCTTCAGTCGTTTCGAATGAACAGGAAGGACAGGAATGCATTTGATTCTTCTGGATCAAGTAAGACTTGTTTGTTATAAGTTTGAATGGTCGATATTTATTTTAATGAAAATTATATTTTGGTAAAAATCTGGTCTTTGCTTATGGATGTGAGGAGGTAGCTGTGAGGGGATGAATTGTTTTAGAACATGATGGTTCAGTGGTTAGGTTGAGGTGGGATAGATATGTCTTTGATTAGGGCTTTCCTCATTATTGGTTATGCCCACATCATGACTGCCTCCACTGTTCTTCAGAAAAGGACATTTGCCTGGCTGACTCTGACTTCAACTCCTTGAACTACTAACCTATAACAAACATACAGCAATGGATGTAAAAACTCCTTAGGCCAGTTTCACACTTGCGAGATCCGTGACCGCACAGCCTGCACCATACCGCGTGGATTACTGCGTGGTCACGGAATCGCCCCATCACCGCCAATCACGCTGGCGGTGCCATTATTTCTAATGACACCCCAGTGGCGCCCGGCAGATCGCGCGATTTCCCGCCGTTAATCCGCCCGTGCAACCGAACACGACTAAAACAGCCGCGTGTTGTGTTGCAAAAAAGGTACATGTACCTTTTTTTTCTTTTCTGCGATTGCCACACGGAACCCTATTGAAATCAATGGGGCCACACGGCTGTATGCACTTGTGCCGGATCGCCCAGGTCTGCACCGGGCCTTATATTTATACTTGTTTTGAGTAAGTTAAAGAATTGTATCCACATGGTCTGAGTGATAGCCAGGCCAATAGTATTTTTTACAAGGATATTGGAAATAACAGTCTAAATATTTTGATCACTTTTTAAATGATGATTTTAGGCCTGCAGACCGCTTGGCATGGGTCAACCAAGTATGTGAAAGAAAATAACTGTTCAGTTTTATCATGATGGCCCATTATGTTTCTTTAGGTAGTCTGTCCACCCGAAGCTGGTTTAGGTTAGCTAGATGCCAATCAGTTGAAAAACTTATTTTTTCCTTGCAGCAATACCTCTGCATTAGAGTTCCAAGTTTCATGCCTCTACCTGTCAAATGCCTGGCCTCATGGTGATGGTTGTCTCTTGGCTCAGGGGCGTAACTAGAAATCACAGGGCCCCACAGCAAAAAAATTGTATGGGGCCCTGTGATTTCTAGTTACGCCCCTTGCAGAGCTCACCTGAGATCCCAAACAGCCTACCATAGACTCTCTATGGTGGGCTATGCAGGGTCTCAGGTGGGCTGGTCACACCCCTGCACACGTCTTACCTGTAGGTAGTTAAAAGGGACTGACAACACTGTTTAGGATTTCAGTGCAGCAGAGGTGCTGTGTTGTCAGTACAGGAAGTAAGGGTATTTAAAGGATTACAGAGTTTTTTTTAAAGGGATTAGACATGGGATTACGTGCCCTGCCATAACGCTTTAAGAAGCTAGATTCCCATTCCTAGATAAACCCAGTTGCGACTCTTAGAAAGTTTAATTTCTCCGAACATCTCCGAGCTTAAAGCTTTAAGAAATCATATATTATTTAAAGGTAATTAAGATTCGTACACTTTAGGAGCAGTTTCCTGGTGAGGGTTACTTTAAAGAATATTTCCATTTTCTGCCAGGGCATAATTATATTTTCAGTGTTATTAGAACAAGGGGGCATGTTACATTTAAGTCGTTTTTAATGTTTTCAGGGAAAGAAAAAAAAAAAGTATTCTCAATTAAAATGTTCATTGGCTTTCTGATTGCAAGTTGCATGATTGCTCTTTGCAGAAGTTATTACCCAGCTTCTATTGGAAGGAAAAAAAAATGTTCTCTTAATTAAAAACTACAGTGAAAATGAAACCGTAATTAAATGGACTTCAGTATTCAACAGCGAGCTGGGGAATTGAATCCTCCACTCTCACCCACATCCTCCAGTTCTCATTCCTGAAGATAAAAGAGTTAATCTATTTCAAAGGTATTTCCAAAGGCATTTTTAGCACGTCTGCTTTGTTCATGAAATATATTAAGATGAATTGAGAATATTTTTTGAAAAGCGTCTGTATTGATTGCTGGAAATGCAAAATGTTGGACACTGGAGGCCACATTATTTCTTCAGCTTTTCTGATTGCCCATAGAATATATACTCTCTTTTCTCCACCAACGGTAGGCTGTATTGTTTATGGTGAGAATTATGTTGGGTTTACTCATCATCGGAGTTCCAGGGTTGTATGTTCTCTTGCATGCAGTCTAAGGCAAGGATTGTAGGTTAAAATTGTAGGTCTATGGCAGGGGTGCCCAATAGGTAGATCGCGATCGACCAATAGATCACAAAAGCAGTGCTGGTAGATTGCTGTGCAAACAGGGCTGGCACAACGCTGGCACCCAAAAAGTGCACTGTCATAATCCGGTGGGGATATAAAAAAATCTCCCCTGACCGGTCCTGTGTCCTCTCACCTTTTGCGTGCAGCCACGGTTAATCAGTGAGCAAATGGAAAGATGACCTATCATATCCCCACCCCCTCCTGAAACTGTACCGCCACGCTCCGGAGTAGACTAATCAAATGATCAGCTCAGTGAGTTGATAGATCTCATTGAGCTGATCATTTGAAAAGTTAATTGTAACACAAGAAAGAGTTGGCACCTCTTGTCTATGGCATCGGTATCAAGCTGGGTAGGCTAGGCACGTGACCTGCATCTCCTGCCTAGTGACCCAGATCCCGATGTTGCTGCCACCAATGTTTTTCTATTGCTTTTGGCTGCCTGATGTACAGGGGTGTCCAGAGGCTGGGTGTCACCCAGGGGGGAGACCAGGTGACACCCCTCCGTGACATCATCGCGCATGCACGTTATGGTGCCGCGCGCCATGACGTCATCACACATGCGCAGTCGTCTTATTGACACCTCCCTGGGTCCATCTTGGTGATGGACACCGGCAGAGAGATGAGGGAACGTTCACGCGGCGGGATGTGGTATGCCGCTAGGTCGCCTCCTCTCTCTTGACACTGTTGTGCTCTCGGTCCAAGTGCCCAACTTTTTATAGGAAAGTCAGGAAATCACCAGCACTCAGTAGTAAAGATAAATATGTCTCTTTTATTGGACCGAAAGCGTGACAGACATCCAAATAAACCGACGTTTTGGGACCGCGCAGGGTCCCTTCCTCAAGGCAGAAAGATGTGGTCTGGTGATTTCCTGACTTTCCTGTGTTTGCACGGCGCCATCCGTGGTATCTGATCACTGCGAGCACCACTTTTTTCATATCTGGCCGGGACTGCTGTGAGGAGTGCGGAGGGTCTCTCCATCTACTTGCAACTTTTTATAGGGGTGACATCCAATGGTGGCACTCGGGTGCGGGCCGCACCCCCCTTGTGACGCCACTGCCGATGTGTTGCTTCTGAAAAGCAAAATTTTTCTTATAGAGGCATAATACCACCGAATGGCTAATTGTTCACTCACTGAACTTAAAAAGGGAAGATTTACTGCCACAGGAAAAATTTAGAAGTGTATATTGTGCCTTTAATTTAGAATTCCTCCTGAAGAATAGCAGAGCACTTCCTGGTATGTAAGTGTGCCTGAGCACTCCTGTGTCTACAACCTCATAGCTATATATTTGCAGTGTGAGATCTAAGGCACTGCTGACTCTGAGGGCTAGTCTCGGGAGATTCTGAGATGTCACTCCTGTGCTACTCACTGTTCTCCTTGCTGCAGGCTATGCTATAATTTTGTCATTGATGATGTTGCACTTCTGACGAATAAACTCCACAGTGCGATCGGGGTTGGGTGAAATTAGGGTGCTTTAATATGAACTGCAATAGAATGGAGGACACTCATCACTGAGGGAACAAGTGTGTAACTGACTAAACAATAATACAGTATAATACAGTATATAAAGCATAACAACTGTGCAGGTACAGTACAGAATTATTGTGATTAACATCCAAATGCAGAATCAACATGTGCTCTGTCTGCTGGGAACATCCTCCCCCAAACTGCACTAAGGAAGATGCCACCTGTCCTATAATCACACTGCATTTACTTTCACTTGTCACTGGAACATTAGCTAGACCAGTTTAATCTATTATATTCCCAGTTATGCTTATAAGAATCATCTCCCTTACCTGCAATAGAATGGAGGACACTCATCACTCAGGGAACAAGTGTGTAACCGACTGGAAGTTCCCTCAGAAACAAGTAACTAAGTTTCCCTTTCCACTTACTGTGCAGCAGGTGCTCTGGTAAATGTGTCCTCTCCCTACAAACAGGATTTTAGCTTGGAGTGCCACTGTGTCCTCTCTGTAAAAACAGGAGTTTAGCTTAGAGTGTTAATGTGTCCTCACTAAGAGAACCTTAACATGTTATTAGAATTATATTTTGGGGGTGTCTAAGTTTACATTCTTTACACTGACACCTAGCACCTTGAATGGGCAGGTCCTTGAGAGCCAAAGCACCACCAGAGGTGCTGTGTTGTCAGTACAGGAAGTAAGGATATTTCAAGGATTACAGTGTTTTTAGAGGATTAAATATGGGATTATGTTCCCTGCCACAAAGCTTTAAGAGGCTAGATTCCCATTTGTAGGTTCCTTCCTTTAAGGGTGGCAAACAGGAAGTGAGGAGATAACATTTAAAAAAAATAACTTTATTCTTTCCCCACACTAACTGGAAGAGTGCAGTGGTGTCATCTCTCTCTCCCCCAGCTTGCTGATTGGACAGTGAAGGAGTAGCAGCCAACTGATGAAATCATGTGCTTGGTAAGAATGTCCCCTGTGCAGTGTAGTAGAGCCTGCTGTTTGGGTTACTACAGGAAGCTAATATAAAGACAGACGACCCTAGATGTGTTGAAGGATATTTTTAGACTTTTGTGAGTGTGATTGTGCCTGCAGTAATTATCATGCTCATGAAAGTGTTGCACAACAAGCCACGGGTGTATGTTGTGGTGCGTAGACACCATGCACGTCTAAGGCCTCATTCACACTGTTGCGCGTATACGCGCATTGTACCATATGCAACATATGCAAATAAATGGCTCCATACACACAGCCGCGTATGGAGCTGTATATTTGCGTAGCGTATATATGTG